CTCCCCAGCTGTCTCCTCCTTCTGCCCCTTGCCTTCTGTATTGGCATGACCTCTGCACTTGTGATGTGAATGTCTTTCTCTGGGATGAATTCCACCCCAGGCCACAGTTCATCATCTCACACAGCTGTCTCATTTCAGCTCATCCTCAATTTTGGCTGCATTGCTGCCTCCGATAAATTAAAACACTTTCATCCTCCGTGGCTGATCGTGACTCTTTTGTTTAGAGCTCATTATCTCTCAGGAATCCATGAATATCATTTCATCAGGACAGGCCATGTTGGTTTGCTGGATGTGTGTTCAACTTCTAAATAACAGCTTTCCTGGCTCTGGACTTGTTGTACATTCTTCTATTTTATCTTGGTATAATTACAACGTGTTCTTCCTCAGGGATCTAAGGGTGTAACTAACTCTTTATGAAAACCCATGTTGGTTGGGGTACAGACTAAAACCTTTGCATCTGTTGTTCATGAGCTTTGTAAGTGAATTATTTCTTTGTATGTGTTTTTGTAGGAATGTAGCCCTATGAGGAAGACACTTGGTTATGAGTCTAGTTCTGTCTCTGGTCCTCTGGGGAGTGGAGCCGTGCACATTTCTGACCTGTATGTGTGGTTGCCACTCTCTCATCTTCGGAGTGGGGGATGATGCTCCCGATCTGAATATGAAATTTGTGGAAATTGACCCAGTTCGTTGTTTTGCTAGTGGTTAAATAAGGAAAAGATATGCTATTATGAGTGTCTTGTGTGTTTGAAGTTGTGCGCTTTGGTTTTGCTCTTTCATTTACAGTCTCCAACATTTGTTTTACATGACTTAGATTTTTTCTCCCATGCCTGGAGAGTCCTGTGAGAATGCCAACCCTTCTCTGGGCAGAAGAATGTCAGTTAACGGTGAGAAGCTGTTGAAGAGAGAAAAACCAAGGGAGTTGATTTTTCCATCTAATTATGACCTCCTCCGACACCTGCAGTATGCAACCCATTTTCCCATACCTCTGGTAAGTCGCGTGTCAGCCGGCAAGCTGATCGTTTCATTGTAGGGTCGTTGATTATTCAGCTGCTTGCCTGAGTACTGCATATGAAAGAGGTGAGTTTTTGTATTCACTACCTTCTTTTGTCGGTCATGGTTCTTACCATGTGGCTTGTCTGCTCCTGCGTCTACATTCGTGGTATCGTACTACTGACTGGCTAGGTTTAGCAAAATTTTCCATTTTAGTATACTTGTACTGAGAGCAAGTATACTCTGAAAATGATGTCCGAATGTATTTTCCTACTTCAATTTGAAACTCACTCACTAAGTAGCTTTTATATGCACTTTTGTGGTAGGTACTTTTGGCATTATACAGATGAATAAGAACCTTTGAGCACAGAAAAGATGAAAAAGACAGGGAGACAAATGTCTATGAAATGACAAACCCCAGAATAAGTGAAATAACTTGAGTAAAAACCCAAGTGTCCACTGAAAAGTGAGCCATTTGACATTCCCAGAGCGCTTCTACTACTCTGAAAGAATAAAGATGGAAGGGAGGGCAAAACATCTGGTTGAAAAATCGACTCATGCTCCATAGAAGAGGTCATGTATGTGATGGACTTGGATTTCTACCTGTTGACTTTAAGAACCGGATGATAGCACATGGGAAATGGTTGCTGGGAAATTTGGTGTTTGAGTCATAACAAGTGATGTGCTTTATTTTGAAGGGAAAATGAAAATTGGGTCACAATTTATAAAAAAAAATTTTTTAATTCTTAGGTTCACTATCCTTTTTCATGGAATTTTATTTTAACTTATTTTAGTGAGTCACTTTTTAAAATAGAAGACTATTATTACTACTATTCTTTTAAAAAATGTATTTGTGAGGTGCATATTATATTATTTCCTGGATACCTTTGAGGAGTTTTGATCTCTAGGCTAAATGGTTTCTTAAATTTGTTTATTTTTTGGTTATTTTTGAACATCCTCTGAAATGACTTTCAAAATCACTACACCCACATATATTTTTTTCTTATTAAGAACCCCTTGTTAATTATCCTATGTTCAGGACTATATTGAAAGTAACTAAAATTGTGTCTTTTTCATCACTGGTTGAATATACCAATATTTTTCATCTGCTACCTGTGAGCATCACTCATTTTCCACATATTGGAACAACTTCGCAGTATATTTAGGGCAGCAGGAAGAGTAGCTTGATATTTTAGAGATATATCTTGAAGAATTCATGGGTGAACTATTATGATGTCTGATTCGTTTTAAACTAGCCAAAAAGATTCCTTATTGAAGTCTAGAGTTGAGTTAATATTAATGTGCTGGTGTTAATGTCCTGGTTTTGACAAATATATTATGGTACATAAGGCTTTAGCTCTAGGGTAAACTAGATGAAGAATACATGGGAACTGTCTGTACTATCTTTTTATTTTATCTGTAAATTTTAAATTATCCCCAGATGTGTATTTGGAAAAAATAGGGGAAAGGAAGGCGATACGGCAGAAACGTGAAATGGTTCAGGCTGGTTGAGGGCTCTGCTCGCTTCCCCTGGGCGAGCCGCGCTCCGCAGGCCTCCGTGTGTGTGGGGGTGAGAGCAGGGAATGCGTGAGCACGCGCGTCTTCCTTCTGTCACGTGTGTGAATTCATGTGACCCGTGGTGACACAGCTGTTCCCAGCACTTAACGTTCTCAAGGCTGTGCTCTCCCTTAGAGGAAAGAGCATGAGTGATTCCCAGTGAGCAGGTCTCCTGATGGGCTATGACGTAATTCAGCTGCAATGCGAATTCATAAAAGAGCTGCTAGAAATTTGACATTATAGGATGGAGTTTTTTAATAGCCTTCTAATTACCAGTTGTCTAGAAGCACCTTTACTGTGAGTGTGATTTAGACTAAACCATCAGAAAAGGGGAAATAAAAGTGTATGCTAGTAAAACTGTGCCATTGTGGATGCTGTGGTGAGTCTGACTAGCCTATTATGCACATGAGGAGAATACAAGAATATGACTTAAAAATAAAAAGTTCGTTTTTTACCGCCCCCGCCCCCACTTTGTCTCTAAAGTGTGGCTCTAGTGAGTGAAGGCCAAGGAGAGAAGACTAAAAGGCAACTTGACTAAAAGATTCAGAAAAGTAAGCTAGTTTCATATATGCTTTTGTGTGAATGACGTCCTAATCTGCTTATCGGTAAGACTGTGCTCTCACTGGGCCACCAAGCCCAGGTTCTAGCGTCTAAGCATTCAGCCAGCCTCTGTCACAGGTCATCCAGGATCATCTAGACTCTCCGTGTGTCAGACACGCCCAGGTTCTAGCGTCTAGGCATTCAGCCAGCCTCTGCCACAGGTCACCCAGGATCATCTGGACCCTCCCTGTGTCAGACATGCCCAGGTTCTCGTGTCTAGGCATTCAGCCAGCCTCTGCCACAGGTCATCCAGGGTCATTTAGATCCTTCCTGTGTCAGACGTGTGATACCGACAGGGCTTCCTGTCGTTACCACTGGCCAGCTGGGGTTGGTGCAGTGCCTACCACGTTAGAGGTGTAATGGGCACCTTTTTGGGTGCATTTTCTCATTTACTGTTCTCCTCAGACCATACATCCTCAGAGAATGTGTAGTAATGCTGTGGGCAGGAGTTGTCCAAGGTTCAGCTGTCAGAAAATAGTTCTCAGCACAGAGCTAAAAAATGAGTCTGGAATTCAAACTTGTTACTTTCCAGGAACACCATTTCTTTTTCCTTGCTTCCTTCCTTCGTTTCTTTTCTTCCCTCTTTCCTTATTTTTTTTTCTCTTTCTCGCTCTCTTCTTTATTCCCTCCTACCCTCCCTCCTATCCTTTGAGATCATTTATTTTTATTGAGGTAATGTTGATTTATAACATTAGAGGTGTTTCATGTGTAAACATTTTATTTCTACTGCGGTATCCCCTACAGCATGCTCACCACCCGAACCTTAGCTTCCCTTTGTCACCTAACAGCTGATCCCCATTACCCATGTCATCCTTCTCCTCAGCCCTTCTCCCCTGCTGACCATACTCTGTTCTCCGTGTCTGCCTGTTTTTGCTCAAACAACACCATTTCTGAATCATTGCAGCTAATGCAATTGCATTACTGGTTGTTTTGATGTGGGCTTTTATAAATGAAACAAACAAACAAACAAACAAACAATACAAAGTCTTGTATATCCTTATCTAAATGTTTTAGTCTTCCTTCCCTAAATAAGTCTTCATTTAATACCATCTACTGAGTCCTTTCTGCTTTACTCGCATCTGAGAGAATTTGACCAGTGGGCTGTGACCCTGAGAGTGGGGTCACGCATACATTGCATGGCTGGCCGCCCATGGGGTCAGACTCCCCTTCAGGACCTGGGTGGCACACTTCAGCTAATCTCATGCCGCATTTCTTTCTAACAAGTCCTTGTGATGTGGAGCCGACGTGTCTATTTTAAGACTATTTGACTGGTGATAGTTTTCCATACTTCGGATGTGAGTCCCAAAACAGTAGTTTTAGCAGTTAGTATAATTTAACGAAACCCCCCCCCCCACTTGAAGATATTATGGGGTATGGTTTTTACTGCTACAAACTAAAAATAAGAAATCACTGGATTTGTCATTACTAACAGTAGAAAAATCTTTATTTATAACCTATAGGTAGAAATAAGGATATATAATACATTCAAAAACCATGTTTTTCCAAACCTTTCTATAAGTAAAAAATTGTAGGCTATTGTGGCAGGACACACTTACATGTTAAAAATTGGAGCATTGAGTCAAAAAGTTACTGTTTTTGAAGTGATGGATTAAAAATCAATCAGGCTCAGGTGGTTTCAGTTAAGAAATCACCTGCCCTTTTTTTTTTTTTAGTAAGTGATCTAAAGGGCTTTAAACTGTGTTGCTAAAGGGCTTTCTGGCAACTCACATAGAGAGTATTTTGCATATTTCTATCAGAAGTCAGCTCCAGGCCTTTAAATGAATACCTAATGAATATTTCAGACTCTGTGTCATAGAACTCATTTAGGTTTTAAGGATATTGCAGGGTTTATATTGGTTCAAGAAGACTTTTTAGCTTTTTGTTTTTTTGTACAAACATTTGTGTTAAGGAGCATCAACAACACAGTTGGGCTTGTGTTCAGAAACAGTTTGTCAGTAAACCAAGCCGCATTTGCCCTCTGCCTGTATTTTTACTTACGGAGGCTCTTTTTTCCCTCCTTCCCAGGAGTTTGTACACTTAATTGTCTAGTGAGGCAAGAAATTATAGCATGAAAAAATCCCATATTTTATGCATTGTTTTCAGGCCTTGATTTTTCTTTTTGAGCCTTGGACTCCTTATGGGAAGCAAACGTCTCAGTGATCTTTAATCGGAAAGCTTTTGAGAGATGGTAGTACAGGATTGGATCGAAACACAGGTTGGACACAGCCAGGAGCAGTGTGGCCTCTTTTGCTTTGAAAAGTGAAATCCTGGTGGAACAGTCAGATATGACCTCTGTCTGGCTGAGGGTGTATGGGATTCGGACAGCGTGATAAGGAACAAAACAGATGATGTAGCCTGTAGTCACCAAGAGTATACTGACGAGAGCTCTCTTCACGTTTGGATAGTTTTCATTATCTTTGTTTCTGTAGAGTTGTCGAATTACAAGGCAGTTAGATATTAAGATGATGGCTGAGAAATTGAGGAATATTGCTACACTTATGAAATTTGTCAGCAAATGCCAGTTTCTTCCAAACTCCTTTTTGAATTCCATGCAGCCCACGTTGGGTTTTTCCTTGATGTCTTTGATGGGAATGATCATGTTTGGCACCATTATAAGAAGGACCATTAGCCACACAACAGCTGATATCATTTTAGCAAACCCAGGTTCTTGTATTCGATAAATCTTGCAGCTGTATGTCAACTGAAGACAGCGATCAATGCTAACGAATGCTAAGAAGATTATTGATAAGTACATATTAATGTAGATGAGGCAGGCTGTCACTTGGCAGTGGAATATTCTCAGCTTCCAGGGTGCGACGCCCAAGTCAACAGTGATTTTCACCGGTAATGCCAGAGTGAGCAGGAAATCAGCTGTAAGCAAATTAATTAAGTATATGCTCACACACCTGTGATTTGTGTTTTTCTGTATGAAAGCCCAGGTTGCAAAACAACTTCCAATAATTCCAACGAGGAAGACTAAATAAAAGAAATATGTGAATGGCTCCAGGTCTCTATAAACTGGGCAGAAGGTGGAACTGTTGGTCATCTTCAAGGACAGCAGGGGTGACCGTCCAGAAAGAACAAAACAAAGACAAAAAGCTCCAAAGACTCTGTTAAAAAAAATGAATGAGAGGGAAGGGAGGTTAGTAACTCAAATTAGAATTGTTTTCTTCAAACACAGTTGCATTCCCAAAACCATGGTTGCAGTCACTCTGCTTCTTAGAATTTTATTGGTGAAGTTACTTGATGTGTGGATTGGTGGGAACACCTTCGATTATGAGGAAGGAAGCCTGGGGTTTCCATGGTCTGATTTTGTGATTTTGGGAAATCCCTTGTAGGTTGCTGCTAGAAGGGATATTTTTGACTTCACACTTTTGCATCCTGATAGCTTGTTTGTAACCAATTGGGTTGGAAGTTAGTTTGTAGAGGAGATAAGTGACCTGCATTTCTGAGAAATAGAGAGAGGAAACAAAAGAGTTTGGTTGCGGCTGAGCCTGAATTTTGCTCTCAGTGAGGCTTCCTGGCTTTTGTTTTCATAGGTTGATAGAACTCTTCATGCTGGAGAAACCTAGGTGGAGAGGGGAGGTGAGAGTGGGGAGAAAATTGTACTAAAATCTAAAAGATTTTTATTTAAATAATAGGCCTTTTGTTGTGTACCAGAACATTTTTACAATCAGAGTTTCATTTTTCTAGCAGAAGAAGTTGTAGGATTAGCATCTGGTCTTTGCCTGATGTTCTGGATTATGATGGTGTAGACCTGGTTTGGTAACCTACAACCACAGATGACTTAAGCCCTTGAAAAGTGACCCATCCAAACTGACCCCTGCTGTAAACTGGGTCTTAAAAAAGATTTAGTATGAAATATTATGAAGAGTAGTTACTCCTTGCACTATTCTTACAACATTTACATTAAATTTTTAAAGCCCAGTGTGTACTTTGCACTCACAGCGCAAGTCAGTTTGAACTGGTCACACTTCAAGGGCTTGAGCAGAATTGTGCTATTTTATGCATGCAGTGCAACAGTTAGTAAACTGTGTCAGTAATTTTTATATTGAACATATATTGAAATGATATTTTTGATACATTAGGTCAAATATATTATTAAAATTAGTTTCTCCCGCTTTTGCTTTTTTAAGTGTAGCTGCAAGATAGTTTTAAAGTAGCTTTGTGGTTTGCCTTATATGTCTCTTATATGTGCTTGTGTAGATGTTTCCTGGTCAGTGTTGGCAAGAAGTTTGACCAAGATTACATTTTAAAGGCTTCTAGGGCAAGGGTATATGATTGTTGGTTACAAAGTTCTCAGGACAGAAGCTCAGTTTTATATATAGATGTATCAAAACATCTAACTTTAGCACTTGAGGGTTTTTTCTTTCTTCTTTCATTGTGGGTTTCAAGGCAGTCAAGGCCAGATGTGTAAGTCCTGCCCTTGGAACACTGTGATTGTCACTGATAGTGGCGGAGTGTTGTCATGTTCCCTCCAAATCTGGAATATTGGATGATTTACAGTGTAAGTTAAATAAACTAAGCTTCATAAACTCATGCTCTTAGGGCTGTGGCACCCTCCTCGTGAATATTAAACAACTTCCTTCCTTTGATTTATAGATCAGAAGATTGGTTTTGTGTTTTAGCAAGAAAAAAACTCATGTGCAGCTTTTAAAAATAGCAACCAGTAACTTTAGGGGCTAAGAAGGCCACTTCTCTGAAACATCCTTTTAAAAAAACAAAAACTTTAGAAGCTTTTTTGAATCTTAATTCTCTTAATTATTTGATGATGCATTGGTTACATCTTGGGGTGAAATAATATGTAAGTGGATGAATAAGGCAGATGTATATAAAGCTTTCTAAACTAAAGGGACATTTAAAGAGTACACGTTTTTCCCATTTCCCTACTTGAGACAGGGCTTGAGAGTCCAGGAATGACGTCATTCTGTACTAAACTCAGTGGAAGTCGTCAGACACATTCTTTGTGTCTGGTACCAGGCCAAATACTTTACATGTACTTATTTAACCTTTTATTGTTTCTATCACGTAGATGTTGTCTCCCTTACCCTTTTAAAACTGGGGTATGGAGGTAGCTTATAAAACTAAAAATAGAACTACTCTCTGATGCAGTGAGCCCACTGTTGGGTGTATGCTCCGAGAAAACCATGATTCAAAAAGACCCATGCACACAAATGTTCACGGCAGCACTGTTCACAGTAGCCAGGACGTGGAGCAGCCTAAATGTCCGTGGGCAGGTGAGTGGGTAAAGAAAATGTGGTCCCTATGCACAATGGAATATTACTTGGCTATAGAAAGGACCGAAAATAGGTCATTTATACCCTGTTTTATAGATGAGAAAGCTGAAGCGCCACGAGGCTGAGTAGCTTGAGGTTGTCCAGCTGGTAAACTATGGAGCCCGGATTCGCAGCCAGATAGTCTGATCTCAGAAGCCATGTTCAAAACCGCTTTGAAACTGTGTCCGTTGTTGTTTTTTTGAGTAATAGTTTTTATTGGCGTATATTGGTCTACAGTGTTGTGCTGATTTTAGCTGCACAGCGAAGTGAATCAGTTCTACGTACATCGACTCTCTTCAGACTTTCCCCTGTGTAAGTCCTTACCGAGTACTGAGCAGGGCTCCCGGCGCTTACAGCGGGTCCTGTTAGCTGCCTGCTTTATGTGCAGCAGCGCGCTCGCATCGGTCCAGTCCCCCAGTGTCCCTCCCCCATCCTTCCTAACCGTGAGTGTGTTCTCCGTCTGTGACTCCTGCTGTTTTATAAAGGGGTTCTTTGTACCATTATTTTTAGATTCCACTTACGAGTGGTATCATATGGCACCTTGTCTTATTTTTATTATAATATCAAACCTTTACTAAGTGCTTACTACTGTTAGGAACTGTACTCTAAAAATTTTCATGTCAAAGAGCAGAAATAAAATATTCATTTTTAATTTTCCCCCTCAATACTAATGAACCACATTCAGGCTCTGTGTGTTTTGATGTTTCGTTTTACAATAGATACATTTAAAAAACAAATGTCTGTTCTATATTTTAAGCCTCAACCTTCCTCTCTCTCAGAATTCCCTCCCCGTGGTCTCTCCATAGCATCTGCACTGTCTCCCCCCAGCTCAGTGGTTTAGTTGGTGGGATCCCTGCTGTTCCGGGAGCACTTCCTTCCTTCCTTTTGTACTTTTTGTTGTGATAGGGTTTGGGGCTCATAGGGCTGCCAGGATGCAGGGAACCCTTGTTTGTAGCATTTGGTCCGGTCTCTGGGTTTGATCACACAGAGGTCTGGCACCTGGCTGTTGCAGGCTTCCCTGGCTTGGTGGAGCAGATTCTCTGCCTCTGTCCTTCCCAGCCCCCATCCTGCCTATCCTAAATGCCTAAAGGAAGCCCTTCAGATCTGAAGCCTGCTCTAGGCTTTACTGACTTCCTTATGACTTGACTTTGGCTGATAAACATTTAATTATTAACCATTTATTCTGAGCATTCTTTTGTCCTCTGGGTCAAAAGCTAGTGTCGGTGTAGACGAGCCCTCACCTCCCACCTTTGCTCACTGTCCCTTTACAGAGGTGCTAGCATTTTGGCCTAGACGCTTGTATTTCAAATGTTACATTATAATCGTAGCATATAATGCATTTCTTTGAGTGCCCCTGTTGCTCATACAATTATACAGTAAAGGCTCATTTAATAGGTGACTATGTGGTAAAGAGAAGGATTACAGAATTAATTAGTTTTGCTCAGTCAGCGTACTGTGTATCTGGAACTGACCACCCGTGGGTAATTTATTTAAAAATAATTACAGTGTAACTGTTCATTCCATAATGCTTGAGAGTCACGCACGGCCTCCCAGTTGTTTTTCTTGAACCTCCGTCTAGCTTGCAATGAAGCCCAGACTTCTCATCTAAAATATTTGGTCATATCAAAAATTTAACAGTTGTTAAATTGTACTGTAATAGCATTCTGTGTTTTCCATTGTGAATTTGAACACTAAGTGCTTGATGAATATATATTTTTTTAACCAATTATTAGCCTATGGAAATCTGAGGTGCCCAGGTGTATTCCAGCAAAATCAAGAAGAGATTCCTAGTGTTGCCTTTGTTTGAGAGTGCCCGTCGCTTAGAACCTCATGAGATAACTCATTAGTTGTTCTTTACAGAAGTCACAACAGAGTTTTCTAGAAATTACCTCTCACAGTGTTTGTAGAGCTGTGTTGCACCCTGTGGTGAAGAACTACGACACAGCCTGCATCCATCCAGTTTTAAAATTGAGTTACTGACTAGTTAGGCCAACCCACCAGGAAGCAGTATTCAGTGTTGTGTGAATTAAGCTGTCTTTCTGAAAGGGGTGGATGAGGGCTTCAGGTAGAAGAAAATTACAGTGTAGTTCACACTGAGAATCTATTTGGAGTTTAATAATTAATTGGTGCCTTCTTGCACTGCAGCCTTATCATATGTTGTCATTTTCAGCTCACAAGGTTTAAGCACTGAAAATCATAGATTTCCCTGCCACATAAAGACACTGAATACATTAAGTATTTAGGAAGACATACCTGGGGTGTATTCTTGGTGCTTCAGCGGGCCTTGCTCCAAGTCTTCAGAGAAACATGAGCTGTTTGGCTAGCTTCAGCGGCAGTAGGCCCGCTGCAGGACTGCCGGCTGCACTAAAAATTTCCTTTCCTTTTTGTGTGGTTTTAAAATGTTGCATATTGACGTAGATGAAGCTGTGGTTTGCAGATAGTTTAACTGTACTTTTTTCTTTTCTTTTCTTTTTTTAAACACATATCTTACCTTTATGAAAGCCTCCTCAAGAAGTTCTTTTCAACTTTGTACAAGGTTTCTTCAACAATTAAGAATTGTTTGTTCTTTTAGAGGAAAGATTTTTATTCATCTGTTGTAATACCTATGTTTTTTTGAAATCACCCAAGCTGTGTTTTTCATCATAATGAATTTAAAGAACGCCAGTTTTTGTGTCTTGATGGTGTTATGAGTTAAAGATACCAGCTGTTTAAGCAGAATTTCTTTAGTATGTATACTGACAGTCATCAGCTTTCAAAATTATAATTTAAAAAATGGTTGCAATTTTAATACTGCTGTGAGACATCGATTAACATACAGAAAATGTGATTTAATAGTGTCTGATACAGTGTATTTTTTTTATCTATCTTCATTTTTTGTTCATTTTAGAACAATCTGGAAATATAAGAGGAAAATCATCATGTACAGAGATAATCACGGTTAACGTTTTGGCTGCATGCATTTTTTGGCTTTGTTTTGTTTATTTATTTATTATTACTATTTTTGTTTTGTTTGTTTATTTTAATTACTTAAAACCTTTTCTAGCTGTGCTGGGCCTTTGTCGCCGTGTGCAGGCTTTCCGTTGCTGTGGACGGGACTCTTTTCTCGTCGCCGTTCACGGGCTTCTTATTGGGGTGGTCTCTCTTGTTGCGGAGCGCCGGCTCTGGGGCGTGCCGGCTTCAGCAGTCGCAGCATGCGGGCTCAGTGGTTGTGGCACACACAGGGTTTATTAATTACCTTGCGGGATGTGAAAACTTCCTGAACCAAGGATAGAACCCATGTCCCCTGCATTGGCAGGCGGATTCTTAACCACTGGACTACCAGTGGTGATGTCTGATGATAACATGTTAAACTTTTCCTATGAGTATGCTCACAGAATCTCACAGCATCTCACAGAGGATGAAAGGGTTGGATGGCATCACTGACTCAGTGGACCTCAGTTTGAGCGAACTCGGGGATAGCGAAGGGCTGAGGAGCCTGGCGTGCCACAGCTCATGGGGTGGCAGAGTCGGGCACAGCTTAGTGACCGAACAGCAGCATGCCCGCGTGAGGATGTTGCTGTGTTGTGCGTACTGTTTTATAGCTGGGAATGTTTTTTTAATTCAGAAATGTATTGGGCCTGTTTTTCTAAGTTACGAGAGTAAACCTGCAATGTTCTTTTGTCAATTTGGCCATAACGGCATAATGAATTGAAACAGGTACTTAGTAATTAATAATGAAATATGAAAAGGGACCCTCTGGTGTACATTTAAATTAGATAAATGTTTGTTCTTCCTTTGAGGGAGTAAGTAGTGTGGTCCAAAGGTGATTTGTCAGGGCAAATCATTGCCTGATCACTTGGGGTGGTGTCTGGATTTTTGTTGCTTCATTGGCCTAGTGGGTACTTCGGTTTTATCTCTTTTTCTCCTAGTAATTCTTAGTTTTCTAAATAATAGTCAGAAGAAGCTTTGCTAGGATCTAAAATACATTCCTTTGGTATTCGCTCTTCAAAAGAAAAACCTCTAAAAGACTAAAGGGGAACTGTCAAGCTGGAGGGAACTTAAGGTGGATCTAGGGAACTTTTGAAAACAACAGTTTTCTATAAGGACACTTATGATGACACTGTCCGTTGGTTTCAGATACCCTGGTGGTCTTTCAAATTCAGGTAGTTATTATCATTTTGCAAAAGAATAATTTTTACATATATTCACTTAGAAATTAGTGGGGAAAAGTGCCAGTCTTTCTCAAACTTTGTATTTCATTTGGGTTAGGAACCAGTGTTAATTTTCATCATAATAGGAAATGCTCTCTGTTTTAAGACACTAATACGTGCATCATTACTGGCTAGGACTCACTGAAAAATGCACTTGTATTTTGTAGTAGTCAAGTTAAATGAGCAGTTATGATCAGGGCTTACACTCACTGGGGGGATGGAGAGGGTGAGATGGAAAGAAGTTGATGAGATGCAGGTGGCTGCCAGCTGAGTGGTGACTGGATTTAAAATGTGGTCTGAAGGAGCATTGGAATCAAAGGTTTTTGGTCAAGTTTCTTTTTCTTTTTTTTCAGTTAGACAGTCGTATGTGTACTTCCCTCTTCACTTTGGGGTATGGATAGAATTAAGAAATATATTGAACTGTTCTGAGTTTGTGTGTGTGCGCATGTGTGTGTGTGCACATGTGTGTGTCTGGGTTGCCAAGTATAAAAGAGCTGAAGTCCCTTAGTTCTCCATGTTCTATTTCCTTTTGGGAATAATGAGAAACCAGTCTTTTAATCTGGAAAAGGGCATGGCAACCCACTCCAGTGTTCTTGCCCGGAGAATCCCATGGACAGAGGAGCCTGGTGGGCTGCAGTCCATGGGGTCACAAAGAGTCAGACACAACTGAAGTGACTCACACAACACACAGTCTTTTAATAGTGAAACTGAGCGTGTTCTTCCTCATTCCTGACAGTGAGCTTGAGGCAACCTGGAGTTTTGTGGAAGTTTCTTCACAGTGGAAGAAGCATTCTTTTTTTGGCCTGCTGTCCGCTGTTGTTTTTGTCTTTAACACTAGTTCCATTTAAATTTCCATAAATCACTTCTTTCTGTTTCATTAAGGACGAATGCTTGTCAGTGGGTATTTTCTTAGCGTTCTAGGAAATTGCTCATCATCACTAACCCAGTATTTCAGAAACCCAAGTGGGAAGAAGTGAGGGGAAGTTGTTTTCCCCTACTTGGGTTGTGGCAATACTTTTTATTTAAGAAACGACGAAGCGTTTACTTTAATGAGTATTTTGTATGTTTAAAAATTGAAAGTAAATTGCCCCATGAATTGACCAAAAAAAAAAATCTTTTTGTAGTCTCTCCTTTATCCACACAAACGATAGTTTTGATCTTGTTGAATGCAAGTACCAAACAACTGTCTTTCAATAGAAGCATCATTTTTAATGTGTAACATTCTTAAAATTTGCTTTTCAAACATAGCATGGTAGCCTTTGGAATTAATAAGGAAGGAAGGAAAAAAAAGATTGTTGGGATAGGTAGCCACTGCCACAGCCAGGAACACACGTTTGAGAATTTATTTTCTTTGAAGAAATCTGTAAAATAGAGGAGCTTTTTCTTTTTACAGATGGGGAAACGAGGACATGAGGGACTTTGAGGCCTTGCTCAGAGCTGCACAGTTAGACCCCAGTGTTCCCCAGCACTTAATTATTCTAGTTCAAACGGAAGTGTTGGATGGAAAATGTGGTTATGAGAGAGGCTACCAGGTCAGTCGTATTCCTCTCCCCCCCACCTGCAAACACACACACATTTAGTGTTTACACTTGTTTGAACTTGAGTGCCACTGGGCAGTGGAACAGGCACCTTTGAGCCGCACTTTCCTCACGGAGTTTGCAACTTGAGATGTTGACAGTTCAAAATAGTTGCATTCTGAAGGTTTTAAATGATCTTCCGGCAGGAGACTGTTCTTTGGCTAACAAAGGCCCATATCTGGAGCGTTTCTCCAGCAGGTTCTGAGGCTCCAGGTCACCCTTCTCTCTGGAGTCATTGCACTTTACGTTTGCATTTTGAAAGTGTTGTTAAAGGTGGGTAATCCCCTTTCCCACCTGAATTAGCCCGAAGACATTCTTTCCTAGCTCCCAGATTGGTAGCTTCAGATCTGACAGGGACAGATGTGATTAGACAGAGTAGTTTTAAAGTGAGAGAGAGATGCAGAGCTGCTGACAGGTTACAGTTTCTTCCCGCATTGTTTATACTCTGCTTCAGTTTTCCCTTTTGAATGAAGTGAAGGGTACCAATCGGGGACATTTTGAAGACGGAGGTGCTTTGCATCTGCTTCGAATGTGAATTTGGTCGTAGGGGTGGCCGAGTCTGCTGAGTCACTCCCCTGTCTGGTGCTTTGGATTTTCTGCCTTTTTATTGGCTGCACAGTGTTATCTGATCAATATGTGATTCATCTCATCTTTCAGTTAGGAGGTGTGGCTGTGCTATTTGGTTCATGTTTATAAAATAATTAATAGCTGGGGAAGTCCCTTAAAAAGAACTTTTAAAGGTTATCTTGTGTCTTTTTAGTCACTGAAGTCCCTGTCCGTCCCCCCCGCCGCTTGAGTATGATATGATCGATTTCTTGTGAATCTTTGTTTTTTGGTCAAGTGGTTAAGAAAAATTCTAATAACTATTTCTTGACTACAGGCTGCCTCCTTCGCTTCCATCCTCCAGAAAGTGTTTGTTGCTTTTAGAAGGTCGCAGCGTAGAAGGCATGGGCAGGACAAGACAGGGCTGAGGGGTTGCGGGTGGACTGTGGGCTGTCAGAGCCTGTGGGGGTCCAGGAAGTGGTCTTTTAAAGACCAAAGGAGGTGAAGAGCTGCTCCTGAGAGTGAGGGAGCGGAGGTGGGCTTGGGGAGGGTGCACGCACCTGGGCTGTGGTGTGGGGAGGGCGTCTGGCAGCTCTCAGTTTGGGCGCGCAGTGTGTGCGTGCGGGGTCTGTGTGAGGAAGAGGCCGGGGCCACGTCTTGCAGCCACGTGGTCCATCTCGGATGCTTTGGTTAGGAAGTGGTGCAGCGCTCAGGACAGTTGTCTGAGGAGAGGTCAGTTCAGTAGTACCAGGCGAGTGCGGGCATTGGAGGACGTGGGGTTGGATTGAGGAAAAGTGGAAGACAAGATCCAGGGTGGGGATCTCACCATCTTTCTAGACGAGAGGCAATGAGGATCTGGAACTGGCCCAGAGGGGATGGCCAGTTGGGAACGACTGTGGAGGTGAAGGCGCTGAGGAATGGGCCCGGCGGGAAGCAGGCTGTGGTCTTAGTTCTGGTCTGGGAAGTCTGAGGAAAGAATCGGGCTTAGCAGGTAGGAAAAGTTTGGTTTATCGACGTCCTGTGTTTTTAGTGTTACCTCATTATCTGATATAGCATAGTTTGCTGCTTATTTTATCCCTTTTCATCTTGCTACCACAACAGAAGAGCAGGTAACTTCCTTTTGTTAGTTAAAACTCACGCCATGGAACTGGCGAAACAGGACAAACTCAGGCCTGGTGCCCTCAGCTGCAGCCCTTGCACCTGGCCTTTGACGGAACCCACAGCTGTGGACATTCAACTCTGTCAGCCAGCAAGTCTCTTATATGGCACAAGCCTAGTTGTAGTTTTTTAGTGGGGTCACTTAGAAATGATAAAACCTTTCCACGTTAGCGTCGTCTAAAAGATTAATCTAGAGACTCCGGAAAACACCCTTAAACTAAGCTCTGCTTCCACTCAAGATGACAGGAAGCTTGTGCCATTATTCTGTATTCTGTCCTTTGTCCCGTTGCTGCTACCTGCGTGTTCTGGCTGTGGAGAAGAAATAAACTTTATTAGTACAGAAAATATCCATGACATCAAGAGATGTCATACAGATTATAAACATAACAGATCATCTGCCCAGAATGACATGGGATTTCCTTTGGGTTAACAGCGCTGTGAGGGTTTGTGTGCTGGGGTAGGAAAGACCTAATACTCTGTGGTTTTCAACAGTAAAAGCTGCTACTTCCTTCTGGCCGCCTCTTCTCTGCAAGACTTCAGTGATGTATGGATCACCACTTTATGACAGGACATCCTCCTGATAGCTTATGGTGAGCTGTGTCAGATTCGTGATCTCTGAAGAAGATTTAACTTCCGGACCAGGGACCAGGCTTGATCAGTCAAGAGCTTTTGTATAGCAGAGTTTTATTAGAGTATAAAATGGGACAGAGAAAGCTTCTGACATAGACATCAGAAGGGGGACGGAGAGTGGCCCCCCTTATGTCTGTTAGAAAGCTATTAACAATTAAGAGACGCTTCAAGGCTGACCTGCCCCCTCTCCCACAATATGCGTTTTTGAGATAGGATGGCACAGGTGTGTTGTCCCCCAGCCATAAAACAATTGATATGAATAGTGGTTTGTTGAGCTGTTATCAGCCAAAAGTTAATTTTGGGTGGGACCAGTTTGAAGAAAGATAGATTCCAAAGCAAATACATAGTTTCATTAACATGACTTAAGAAGAATATTTGCATGAGAAAAAAAGCATTGATTAACTCAAGTTTTGAGAAAAGTTAAGTTCTGGTGGAACCAGGTATCGTCCTGGCAACACAGAATTTTAAGAGAAAAAATCTGACACTTGTAGTTTGTTTCCTCCTGCCACAGAAGTCTGGCACTTGCAGGCTGTTTTCCCTGTTTGAAGACCCCTAGCCTTCCTGCCTGTTAACCTGTCACTCCTGGAAGAGGCACTTTAACAAAACGTGGCTTGTGTTTGTCGTAAGCCGGTTTCCAAAATGCTTTATTTCATAGCACTGCTTGTACGGAATGTATTTTTTAGCTGCAGCGAATATGTATTACAAGTCTTGTTTATAAACTAGAACACATTATAGAAGATAATTTAAAAACTAATGCTGATCTCAGAAGTTTCTGGATTAATCCAGTTTTGCTGTTGCTCTATTTCTCTATTTTTTATTGTAGCCATGGACCTTTAAGTTTCTTTCTTAAAAAATGCTCATTGCTTGTATTTACCTAACTTTTCAATATTTGAATAAACTCCTTATGATCTTCTAACTCTGATAAATTTCTTACAGAAATTCCTCTCGCTAAAGTCTTAAATGATCTTTAAAAGTTAAATCCAAAGGTTTGTTTGTAGTCTTGATCTGAATTTTTTTCTTCAGTTTTTAAATTGAAGGGTAATTGTCTGATAGTATTATTGGTTTCAGGTGTACAACATGGTGATTGCTTTTATACATTACAGGAGGATCACCTTGATGTGTCTGGTTTCCATCTGTCACCAATGAAAGTGAAAAGTGGAAGTGAAGTTGTGCGGTCGTGTCCAACTCTTTGCAACCCCATGGACTGCAGCCTGCCAGGCTCCTCTGTCCATGGACTTTTCCAGGCAAGAGTACTGGAGTGGGTTGCCCTTTCCTTCTCTAAGTGATCTTTCCGACCCAGGGATGGAACCTAGGTCTCCTGCATTGCAGACAATTATTTACCAGCTGAGCCACGAGGGAAGCCCATATTATTGATTAAATTCTCTGTTGTACGTTACATTCACATCCCATGATTTATTTACTGTATAACCGGAAGTTTGTTGCTCCTTTGATCCCTGACTTGTTTCACTGATTCCTCCCCTCTGACTGCCCCTAGTTTGTTCTTGGTATATATGTCTGTTTGTGTGTATCTCACATCATCTTTATGCATTCATCTATTGATGGGCAGTAAGGTTGCTTCCATGTCTTGACGATTGCAAATAATGCTGAAGTGAACATAGGGATGCACACATCTTTTAGAATAAGTGTTTTTGTTTTTTTCAGGAAAAGTACCGAGTTAAGTATAATTGCTGATAGTTCTGTTTTTATTTTTGTTGAGGACCTTCCGTACTGTTTTCCACGGTGGCATTACCCATTTACATCACCACTGATTGTGTGTGAGGGTTCCTGGCCTTTCTGCTTTCTTGTTTATTTCCTTTGCTGTGAAAAAGTTTTTTAGTTTGATGTAGTTTGTTTACTTTTGCTTTTGTTTCCCTTGCTTGAAACATATCCCGAAAAATTGCTACCACCAGTATCAAAGGGTGTACTGCCTGTGTTTTCTTCTAGCAGTTTTATGCCTTCAAATCTTAGATTTCAGTGTTTTATCCATTTGAGTTTATTTTTGTATATGGTGTTAGAAAATAGTCCAGTTTCTGTCTTTTGCATATAGATGCCCAGTTTTTGCAACACCATTGATTGAAGAGGCTGTCTTTTCTCCATTGTATTCTTGCCTCCTTTTTGTAGATTAGTTGATTGTGTAAGTAAGGGTTCATTTTGGGCCCCTTTGTTCTAGTGCGTTGATCTATGTGTTTGTGTTTGTGCCAGTACCATCCTGTTTTGGTTACTATAGCTTTGCAGTATAGTTTTAAATTAGGCAGTGTGATACCTCCAGCTTTGTTCTCCTTTCTCAAGCTTATCTTGGCTTTTCAGAGGCCTTTGTGTTTTCACATAAACTTTAGAATTATTTGTTCTAGTTCTGTAAACAATGCCACTGATACTTTCATAGGGATAGCATTGATCCTGTAGGTTGCTGTAGGTGGTGTGATCATGTTAGCAGTATTGATTCTGCCAGTTTGTGAGCACCGTACATCTTTCCCTCTGTTTGTGTCTTTCTTCAGTGTCTCACCCTTTTCCAAGTATAGGTCTTGTACCTCACAGGTTCTGACACGCAGTCGCTGCTGTTCACCTCTTGGTTCACCCGTCCTTACTTGCACTGCACATTGTTTCCTTACAGATACTGCCTTTCATATTTCCGGTTTGCTTGGCGGCAGTGGCTACAGACGCACTACTTGTTGGTTCCTGCCTTCTTTCATACTTTCAGTTTCTCCTCTGGTGCTATAGTAGGGGCATGTAAAACATCAGGATGTAATAGTTTGCCCTGAACAATGGGAACTGAATACAAACAAGCTACTTTCTTGTGCAAATATGTTTAGCCAGACAAATGCTATAGCATGCTTAGTTCTTCCGGGCATGCGTACGACAGAATTGTGATTTTGTTCTTTTTGGAAGAGAACATTTGACCCAGAGTTGGGAGCAGAGACTGGAAGGTGGATTCAGAGTTTGAAGACCTTCCCAGATCTTCCTCAGTTTAAAATGTGCCTTCTCACTTTTCTCTAAAATCTGATGAGGTCCTAGAACATAGAAATACTTAATTTTGAAAAGTCAGTGGCACATAGGGTTTCAAAAGTGCTCTATGTAACTCTTAGCCTGGGTTTTCCTATGCCTGCTGTCTGTGCCTTTTATTAGCTTGTCTGATCGAGTGTACTAAAGCAGCCGCCCATGTCTTGACTGAGGACATCTGGTACTGTTTTTTAATATCTTGACTATTAAGGGAAAAATTGACACTATGAAAAATATTTTTTATTAGTACATATACGATAGGGCTTGAAAAAATATATATATATATATATATATAAACATACAAAAAAGTTTGAGAAGAATATTTGAAAGTTGGGCTAAGTATCTTCAGGCAAGTTAATAGCAAGGAAAGAATTTAGCTTTGATAACTCACAGAGCCAGCAACCATATCCTATATCTGCACATATGAAATTTGTTTTTCATAAAATGTGATATGTAAACTTTCATTTTGTGTGTAATTTATCACTCATAAATTTTAGATTTTCTTTTTTATGAAGTCCAGTTGCTTTCTACAGAAACTGTTTCTTTCTGCTCCTAGGGAATAATGTATGTTGCCAGCCTGGTGGTTATTTGTGTACATATGCCTTTTCCCCAGTCAGCCTATATATTTTTTTTTTTCCATACCATTGAGCAGAGGAAGTTGCTCACAACACATGCCACTGCCTAGCTTCTCTCTGTAGAGTTCACTTAAACATATTCTAAGACCAGAACCCCAGGCTCATTAAGTGGCTTAGCTAATCTTCATATAAAGAATTTAAAAGTTATCTTATCCTCAAAATGCTATCAGAGAAAAATTACATTTTTTGCTGCAGTGTACAGAAGTTATATCTGCTTTCCTTTGAAATGTGATGAAATAAATCAGTTGGGGATTTCTTAAGTAATTTTCTCATTGTCTGCTTACCCAGGTTCTTCAAATCAGAGAAAACTTGACTTTTTTCACTACAAACTGGCTTCTTAAGTCCATATCAACTCTGCCTGCTTTTACACTGGTCTTTAATGACCCTTTTGAAAAAAATTGTGTAACTTAATTCTTGTTTTTAGAGGAAGACACACCTGTGAATTGTCTTTATTGCTTCCTATGTATTTGCTGTTTAAAGTTCTGTATGAACTGACCAGACTGCTGATTATACTTTTAAACCTTCTATTTTGATGGGATAAGATTAAATAATGTATTATTTTTTTCTTTGATGTTACAAAAGAAGCATGGAAACTTACCTGTTAACTTTATTATTCCACTAAATTGAATAGTGATGCCTAGAGATGATGCTATTGTGGACACGTGTATTCATTTTGTTTTGTTATGGAATTGAAGATTACAGTATGCATGCATGAACTTAATTTGAAAGGAGGTGGGAATTCACAAACTATCTGTGCTTCCTTGTATTATATTTTCCCTTTTGGTTTTGGAAGTGTCTGAGTCACGCTGAGTTTTTAATGGGATATGCAATTTCTTACACAAGACCTCTCTAAATGGCTGGCATAGAAAGAAATAAATAATGGGGTCCAGGCATACATTTGCAGCTGACAGTAGCAAAGAGAATTCTTTCACATAGAGCAGGATTTCTTTTGACTGGCAGCTGTAATGAGCTTCTGTTTGGCTCTGTGTGTAGGGGATTCTGGCAATGTGGTAAGGTACAAAGCAGATAAAAAACACGAACATAATGCTGAATATATTACGGCTAGATTTCTTCTTGACTGATATGGAATTCTTTCTGGACTTGAGGTGGGACTTAAAGATCTTCTTCGTGATAGCAGTGTAGAAGAAGATTAGGGAGAGAAACACAATGCAGAAGATGCCCACAAAGATGTAGCTGGAGGCTTTGTGCCACTTGAGGCCCAGGTCGCTCTTAAGGTCCATGCATCTCACGCGCGAGGCCCCCGCCACACCCCGGTTGGTCAGGATCGTGTTGGGAAGGGCGATGAGCAGCGTGAAGCTCCACACCAGCACCGACAGCAGTTTGCTGTAGGTCACGGACTGGATGAAAGACGTCAGGAGAGGCTTCACGATCTTGTAATACCTGTCGAAGCCGATGAGCCCGAAGAACATGACGCTGACGTACATGTTGATGTAGAAGAGCACGGCCGAGACCCTGCACACGAAGACGTTCAGCTGCTCGGGGCCCAGCCCCGAGTCCCCCAGGATCTTGAAAGGAAAAGTCAGGCTCATCAGGAAGTCGGCCACGACAATGTTCTTGAGATAGACGATGAAACTCTTGGAGCTGGGCACGTAGAAGAACACCCACCCCGACACGCCGTTGAGCAGGATGCTGGCTACGAAGACCACGAAGTACAGCGCGGGGATGATCTGCTTGGTGATGAGGGCGTTGGAGGGGCAGGACCCCCCCGCAGGTGGGGCGGTGGTGGCGTTCATGGTCTGGCAACTTCCGAAGGCACGGCCTGCAAGGTGATGTGAGAAGAGTCACGCAAAGGGCACACACAGACCTCTTAGTCGTTTGCTGAGAGATAAAAGCAGAGGGCAATAGATATAACCACGAAAGCAAAGTGTTTGTCGCTCCTTCGTGCCTGACTCTTTGCGACCCCTTGGACTGCAGCCCGCCAGGCTCCTCTGTCCATGAGATTTTCCAGGCAAGGATATAATCAAGCCCAGCAAATCCTGGAAGCCAAGTTTGTGCTGTGTTTGTTAGGTACCCGTCCCTTCCTCCCTTTCACCTTCTCTTCCTTCCTTTAGAAAAGGGAAGAATCGCGTCGACTGGTAACAGGAAAGAAACGTTAGAGAAGCGGCAGGACAGCCTGAGGACTGAGGTGGCCACGGAGACCAGTGCTTCCCTGAGATGCTGGGGGCTCCTGCAGAGCTCCAGGGCTCTGGGAGGGCTCACTTAGAGGTAGCCTCTGAGATGATAAAGCTATAGAAACAGCGTCTGCTTCATAGTAGGTTTAAAAGCTGTTGTTACAGACCCTACTTTTGAGAAGGCCCACCCTATGTGTATTTTAAACACAGGACCGTGTCTTACAAGCATACACGGCCACACGTAAATGGTATTTTTGGTATAGGATTATGGGTACCTTTTAAAATTGAGATTTTTCTGTGTCTTTTCCCATTTAGAAGCTGATTTGCAGTACGTCTATAAATTAGTAAACACAAAAAGGATAGAAGTACCTTAAACATTCTCAGAGATGTTCCCCAAAGTACATTCTAGTCTGTACAGTCCAATATGGAAGACACTAGCTATGCGTGGCTATAGAGGACTTGAAAATGGGGCCAATCCAGATTGAAGTATGATGTAAAATGCACAATGAATTTTGCAGACTTAGTATGAAAAAAATTATGAAAATACCTCAGTATTTTTAATATTTTTTACATGTTGAGGTAATATTTTAGAAATATCCCCTTAAATAAAATGTATTATTAATCGTAATTTCACTTAATTTTACTTATTTTAAAGAATATGGCTACTAGAAAATTTAAAATTACGTATATGGGTCTCATCATATTTTTATTGAGCAGCACTGTCCTGGGTATTACCCAGAACCTTCTTTTCTTAGGGAATCTTGTGTAGTCTTCACAGATGTTGGACATAATGACTCATGGCACAAGGAAGATGAGGAGTGAGGAGTTTTTTGAAAGATTATTTGATGTATCAAAGAGAATGTCCGCTTCCCATCTTATCTGTAACGGCAACATCCTGTTTGACCCTTGGTTCCTGCCCTCAGGATAGAGTTCTTTAACTCTTAAACCCTGAGCTCCCGGAAGTCCCCTTCTGGGTCTGACCCCGCCTGGGTCTGCCTCCAGCAGGGAGCTCCTGCTGCTTTGAATCCTCCTGCCTCGCAGGTACCATGATTGCTGTCACCTTGAACATTTGCACAAACTTCCGTTTGTGTGGAAGACTCTTCCGTACCTTCTTGGTTGGCTGACTTCTCATCATCCTCTGCTAGAGAAAGCTGCGACTTTGCTTAGGACTCTTTGCCGCCTTGAGCCTTGGCTGGGTGGACGGAGTATGAGGCCACCCGTGTGTGCTCGTGGTCCTGTGCCTTTCTTCTCTCTCAGCGCTCGTCCCTCTAGGTGTTGGGTCTTCGTTTCCTCTGCTACTGTACGCTTTTTCAGGGTGAAAGGGACCATGCTTTTTTTTTTTAATCATTGTATTCCTAGCATTACATTTAGGACATTAGATATTTAACATATTTGTGAAATAAATGAATATGCAATCTGGGAATACAAGACATGCATCCCTCTTAAGAAATTTTCATCTAGTCAGGGATCATGGGAAAGAAAGATTGTGGAGGACACTGGGTTCCTTGAGGGTACAGAATGTACCTGGTTCATCTTTATATTTCTGGTGCGACGTATGGTGCTTACATAGTGAAGGGTTAGGTCAGTAAATTTAAGTAAGAAGGTGAAGTCTGGAAATGTGGAATATGAAATCCAGTCACTTTGCAAATAAAAGTCATACTTGCAACCTTTGTGTGCTGTTTCTCACAGAAGAGCATCTTGCTTCTGTGTACTCTTCCTATGAGCACATGACAAAACTAGAAACCTTTCTAGCCACTTGATTTTGCCTGTCCTTGGACTTCCTTCATAGGGAAATGTAATGCTCTGTTCACTTGGATCTGATCATAATGGATTTGTAGTTAACTTGCTTCTTTGTAGGTCTTCTGTGGCCTGTTTCATATTTAGATGGTGAGCGAAGGGTCTATGTTTTCTATCGTAAACTCCTTACTGTGGGAGAGCCTGTATCTAGGAAATAATTGGTATTGTCCTCTGATACTAAGATACAACTTAGCCTAAGAGCAATCCCACAGAGCTTGAGAGACTGCCCCCAGGGCCACAGTGCTGGGGACACCGCCCCCCGGCCAGTGTGCTGCAGGCTCAGCTTGTGTGTTCACTGACTGTTGGATTCATTGCAGTTTAAAATATAAAGTTTTTAAAGCAGATCTCATGCTTAATTGGTCAGTCATGCCCAACTCTTTATGACCCCCATGGACTGCAGCCTGCCAGGCTCCTCTGTCCATGGGGATTCTCCAGGCAAAAATACTGGAGTGGGTAGCCTGTCCCTTCTCCAGGGGATCTTCCCTACCCAGGAATCGAACTGGGGCTCCTATATTGCAAGCAGATTCTTTACCATCTGAGTTACCAGGGAAGCCTCAGTACATTGTAGAGAGAAATATTAACGATTTAATATGTAATTACATGCTGAAGTAGTGAAGAATTTCCAGAAATTATTTAATGAGTGCCAGCTTTTTCTTTATAGAAGATTTATAGAAGCCAATATATAGAGGAACACAATAGAATGGGAAAGACTGGAGATCTCTTCAAGAAAATTACAGATACAAAGGAAAATTTCATGCAAAGATGTGCTCAATAAAGGACGAAATTGTATGGACCTAACAGAAGCAGAAGATATTAAGAAGAGGTGGCAAGAATACACAAAAGAACTGTACAAAAAATATTTTCATGACCCGGATAACCACGATGGTGTGATCACTCACCTAGAGCCAGACATCCTGGAATGTGAAGTCAAGTGGGCCTTAGGAAGCATCACCACAAACAAAGCTAGTGGAGGTGTTGAGCTCCTGTTGAGCTATTTCAAATCCTACAAGATGATGCTGTGAAAGTGCTGCACTCAATATGTCAGCAAATTTGGAAAACTCAGCAGAGGCCACAGGACTGGAAAAGGTCAGTTTTCATTCCAGTCCCAAAGAAAGGCAGTGCCAAAGAATGCTCAAACTACCACACAGTCACACTCATCTCACATGCTAGTAAATTAGACCTCAAAATTCTCCAAGCCAGGCTTCAGCAATACGTGAACCATGAACTTCCAGATGTTCAAGCTGGTTTTAGAAAAGGCAGAGGAACCAGAGATCAAATTGCCAACATCTGGTGGATCGTCGGAAAAAAAAGAGAGTTCCAGAAAAACATCTATTTCTGCTCTATTGACTATGCCAAAGCCTTTGATTGTGTGGATCACAATAAACTGTGGAAAATTCTTCAAGAGATGGGAATACCAGACCACCTGACCTGCCTCTTGAGAAACCTGTATGCAGGTCAGGAAGCAACAGTTANAATACTTTGGCCACCTGATGCAAAGAGCTGACTCATTTGAAAAGACCCTGATGCTGGGAGGGATTGAGGGAAGGAGGAAGAGGGGACAACAGAGGAGGAGATGGTTGGATGGCATCACAGACTCGATGGACACGAGTTTGGGTAGATCCTGGGAGTTGGTGATGGACAGGGAGGCCTGGCGTGCTGCGGTTCATGGGATCACAAAGAATTGGACACGACTGAGTGAATGAACTGAACTGATGCAGAGTAATAGTGAAGAATTTCTCAGAAATGATTTAGTAAGAGCCACCGTTTCTTTCCTTTCCTTCTAGGAATGTGTATAAAGACATTTTCCACAGAGTCTTGTGACTTATGTCCATTTGAAACACAGTATGTCTGTGTGCACCCTAATGCTGGATCTTCCTTGGTGGCTCAGCGGTAAAGAATCTGTCTGCCAATGCAGGAGCTGTGGGTTCAATCACTGGGTTGTAAGATTCCCCTGGAGAAGGAAATGGAAACCCACTCCAGTATTCTTGCCTGGAGAATCCCATGGACGGAGGAGCCTGGTGGGCTGCAGTCTGTGGGGTCGCAAAGGGTTGGACAGCACTGAGCGTCTAAACATCAGCAACAACCATGATGCCAGGGGTGGGGAGCTACGAGTTCTGGTTCTGCTCTGGCCCCTCAGTGTCAGAAATCGAGCATATACGCCTTGCGGTGCATTTCACGCCCCCTCCCTTCCTCATTTGACGTTGGTGGAAGGGGCTAGCTGACCCAGGCAAACTTCTAGAGCAGGAGTGCCTTCGGAAATGAATACTGAATCCTTGCTTGGATCTTTTTCTCCAAATGACATCTTCTTGCTCTTTTGGTGCATTTTGAAGCAACGGCAGGTCAGAATCTTTCCATGTGAGATGTGTTGACTGGGGAAAGAGGGTATTGCCGCTGCCTGTGCTGCTGTCTGCATACAGCAGAGGCAGATTTAGGGTCATGATGGGTCGTGAGCTGTAGCTAAATCTGAGACAGTGTTAGCAGTAACTTTCATGCTTTTAAGTCTGTGTTTCTTGCACAGTAGTGTTGATGGCGGGCGTTGTGACCTCCCGGTACATAATTTGCCACACTTGGTCTTGGCGTCTCAGGTGTGGCAGCCTTCTCTGCAGTGATGGGTCAAGAGATGTGTGGACAAAGAACTGTCTTAAGGTATCTGCAGCAGGTGAGGCCAGTTAGACATGGAGCTCAAAAGGCAGGAATACATGTGAGATGAAAAATAGGAAACGATGATAATACAGACAGGTGTTGCTTTGACCTTGTAACTTCTGTCCTGTCTCCTCTCCTTATGTTAAGTATAGAGGTGATTTAGTATCCTGATAAAGAGACCTGATAAAACTTCAAACCCTGTCACAGATGAAGGAAATACTCACACATGGATGTTGATTTTATACTATAACGTGAAAAATAAATAACCAAATCACAAAGAAAGAAGGTCTCAGTGTGGCCCAACAACACTCCCTTCTCTGCCCCAGGCTCTTAGCTGATTTACTGTTTCTAAGCAGCTTGTCCCAGCCCATTAAAGGTTAAAGTGAAAGTGAAGTCGCTCAGTCGTGTCCGACTCTTTGCTACCCCATGGACTGTAGCCCCGCAGGCTCATCGGTCCATGGGATTTTCCAGGCAAGAACACTGGAGTGGGTTGCTATTTCCTTCTCCCGGGAATCTTCCTGACCCAGGGATCGAACCCGGGTCTCCCGCATTGGAGGTGGACGCTTTACCGTCTGAGCTACTGGGGAGGCCCATTAAAGACGAGAGACAGGCAAAGGGGGAGAAGGAAGAAGGACGAGCCTTTGGATGATGATCTACTGAAATAAGGGGCATTCTGGAGAGCTGGTTTGTGGAAGTGTAGCCAGTCCTGCCCATGGAAGTTACTCCTGAGATTCTCTCTGAATGTCTGTAGTGAAAGTGGGCATAATGTTCACCTTGAGGCTTCAGGGGACATAAACAAAGCTCCCGGAATTCTTGAGCCTTCATTTAAGAAGGATTTTAAGATAAGCCGTAATGGAAAAGAATATATAGAAAAAGAACGTGTGTGCGTGCGCACACACACATACCCACACCCATTTATATTTGCTATGCAGCAGAAATTAACAACGTTTAAATCAGCTTCATTGTTGTTTAGTTGCTCAGTCGCGTCCAACTCTCTGCGACCCCGCAAGCTATAGCCCACCACCCTCCTTTGTCCATGGGATTTCCCAGGCAAGAATACTGGAGTAGGCTGCCATTTCTTTCTGCAGAGGGTTTTCCTGACCCAGGGATCAAACCCGCATCTCCTGCATTTACGGGTGGGTTCTTTATCGCTGAACCACCAGAGAAGCCCATAAATCAAGTAGACTTCAATTAAAGTAAAATGTGAGGCATTAGCTGTTGTTAGGTGGCAGTCTTCCTTGTTGCACAAATCCAGGTAAAGGAGAATGAAATGACCTGAAACAGTTTGGTCTATATAAAGCGTCACTTTGGATCTCTGGTCGTATAGTGGTAAAATGGAATTTATGGGACCAAAAGACAGTTGTTACTGTGTAGTAGGAGCCTGTGAATTTCTTTCATCTTTTTTTGTACAGTTAGAACATCCATGGCAAAGTTTAATTTTTTTCTTTCTTTTCTCCTTTTTTGGCAAAGTTTAATTTCAATCTAGATAGTGAGTACACTTGTTCGGAGTGAAACGTTAGGTCTCTAGAGTGTGCTGCGTTCGTGTTTTTGGGTTTTGGAATATTTCACGTAACCTCAGGGCTCTCTCTTTGGGCAGAATCTAGTTGATCCAGGACCACACAAGGCAATGCTCACTCCAGAAATACATTCACCATAATAAAAGTGTGTTGAGTTCATTACTCATCTTCTGTGTAATTGCATGCGGTGAACCAATTTTCTCTTAAAACAGACCACCTTCCAGTGTTTTAATTGTGTGCTATAATTCTACTTTTTCTGAAGAAGAGAAATTATTCCATCATAATATTTTGATTAAATTAACAAAGCTCTCGACAATGCTAAAGTATTTCTTTAATTACCTTTGTAAAAATTTTGTCCAGTGTGAGGTTTCCTTTCAATGAAATAATTTAGCCCAGTGAGCGCTTGTCATCTTGAAGTGGCCGAGGTGTTTCTTCACCAGTGATCCTGTATTGTAGTAGAAAAATGAAGATTTAATTACGTTAAATAAACACCAGAATGTTTTATTGAAGATGTATGTGTGGTAGCGGGGTACTTATTCTTTAAATGCAGCTTTGTATAAATTGAAATATTTCAGCATGTGCTTTTGTTGCTTTACCAAACCTCTTGTTGGTTGTCGCTGTTGACCATTATAGATTTGATGTAAACTCTGGTGAGAACCTTGTAAACTCTACTTGGGAATTGTGTGTTTTTAGTTACTGGTTTATTTTTTTTTTCCCCTCTTTATGGGTTTAGATGCTCAAAACAGATTATTTAAATTACTGAAGTTAACAGACAGTTGACCCTTTCAGCCAGGAAATCATCAGCAGGCTTTCTTTTGTTTCCTGTGTTTTTTTTTTTCTTTAAACCTTTGTACCATGGACATTCTGGAGTTAGATGATTGGTTGTGAGCGTTGTCCTCAGCATTGTAGGATGTTAAGCATCGACATCCTTGCCTCCTAGCTGTTAGGTGCCAATGTTTTTCTCGTCCTAAGTTGTGACCAGAATGTCCTCTAGGGGGCCAGATTGCCCTGGTTGATATTCATGGACTTGACTGAAAAAACCCCTGAAAGCTTTATTGTTAGGAAGAGGACAGGTTTGGCAGAATGTGATTGGTTCAGTTCTGCCTTGGTCTGGGTTGGCACCTTTCTGAATTCTTTAACCCTTCTCAGACTTTAATGTGTGTACAGATTTCCTGGGGCTCCTGCTAAAGTGAAGACTCATATACCATAAGTCTGAAGTGGGTGTAATGTTGATATTGGTAAGGCAAGGAGTACCCTTTGAATAGCAAGTTTTTTACTCTGTATACAGGAAACTTTAAGAAATATTTGATGAGGAGGGTTTAAAAAATTTTTTCTTTGCTGTAGTTGGGACTTCAGGTAGGAAAAAATTATATTAAAGGGAGCCTGAAATCTAGAATTTTTCTTCGAGAGTTCACTTGTTACAGATTTCATCATCATAATCTCATCCTTCTGGTCTGGATATATAAATATATATTTTATGGAGAGCCAGTGATAAAGAACATCTTATATTTACCTAGGATAGTCCTAAAAGGTCATGAGGTTCTCTTTGTAAGCAAGGAGATGTAGTTCTCTGTGGTGAAATATTGTATTTGATCCAGGGTGATACTGAGCTTGTTCTGGGCAGGAATGATACTATTTAACTTTAGGGCAGTGCTTATTCTTGGAGAAGGAAGGGGGGCATAGGGTGGTTGGACTTCAGCTGTATTTGTGGTTGTTCTTTTAAATTCTGAAGCAAGTAAACATTACTGTACCTAACATTACTGTGAATTATGCCTAAACTTTACTGTGATTTAATACTGAGCAGTTAGGAATACTGGTGTTACAACCATTAGTTTTTGTACTTTTCTGTACTTGGAATGGTTCATAATTAGGGAAAAAATGTATATGGAAAATGAATTGCTTTCAAATCACTCATATCACTACCCACCTATGATGAGCATTTTCCTCACTGTTCTTTGTTCTGTTCTTAGCAAGGGACGATGGTGGTTCAGCTGGTAAAGAATCCGCCTGCAATGCAGGAGACCTGGGTTCAATCCCTGGGTTGGGAAGTTCCCCTGGAGGAGGGCATGGCAACCTACTCCAGTATTCCTGCCTGGAGAATCCCATGGCAGAGGAGCCTGGCTGGGCTGCAGTTCCTCCTTTTCGGGGTTGCAGAGTCGGACATGACTGAGCGACTTTAGCACAGCACACCTGTGATGAGCATTGTCCGCCCTCTTTGTTCTGTTTTAGCAAGCATCAGGCTCAGAATTCCTCCTCTGTACTCACAGTTCACACATCACAAGCTTTCATTTCAGGTGCCCCAAGATCTTTTCATATGCGATATATGCTTGTTTTCTAGATGGTTCTTCTAACAGTAGAAAAGAGTATAGATGTGTATAATCATTGTGTACATGTCCAAACTGACTAAAGCTGTTTTCTGAGCATTGCTGTTTCTATCTCCCTTGCTGTAATGTGTGGCTTTTTTTTCTCTCCTTGGGATGCCAGTATGTTGTATCCTAGATGGTTTTCAGAGCAGTTGTAATGGGTTGACTAGAATGAGGATTTATGTATGGGCTACTTACTCAGTCTTGTAGTTACATTTTATAATATTTTATGTTATTAACTATTCAGCAGCATACTTTTATTTTAAAAATATTTTATACTTTTGAGTAGTATTAATTTTGTCATCAGTCTTCTGACCTATCTTATTCTGTGGTCGGTTGAATATTTAAGAATTTCTTCATCCTGACTCTTGGCCTTGCCTCTCTTTCCCAACACCGTGACTCCTGAGGAGTGGGTAAACAGTGTCTTTCTCTTCTAGGTCATGCTACTGCTGCTAAGTTGCTTCAGTCGTGTCTGACTCTGCGAGTTTCTGCCACAAACAGCCGTTCTTTGATTCCATGTAATAACAGGTAGACTGATAACATGCATACCTAGTTTTTACTGTTTAATTCCAACCACTTCTCTTAAAATACGTTTAGCTGAACTCGCAGCTAAGTGCAAGAGTGGCATCTCCTCGACCCTGGGTCTGTCTTCACATCTTCGGGTGATGTAGGCAGATAATTAGGAGCTGGGGGAAGGGGTGAGGTGCCGCACAGGCCCTCCTGGGGCCACGGAAATGCCCCCCCCCCAGCCTCTGTGTCAGTAACTGCATCTGGTTTGTCAGGGTGGATTTGGGGGGATTTTTCACCTACAGCCTTGGGGGTGCCCGGGATTTCTCATCCTTGGCACTGTAGACATTGTTTTGAATTGCAGTTCTCTGTAGACTTCCCTGGTGGCAGACCGTAACGCGTCTGCCTACAATGCGGGAGACCCGGGTTCGATCCCTGGGTCGGGAAGATACCCTGGAGAAGGAAATGGCAACCCACTCCAGTACTCTTGCCTGGAAAATCCCATGGACAGAGGAGCATGGTAGGCTGCAGTCCATGGGGTTGCCAAGAGTCAGACATGGCTGAGCGACCTCACACTCTGTGGGTGAGTGGGGTGGTGCGTCATAGAAGGCTGCATCTCCCGCCTCTCTCCGCCAGGTGCCGGCAGCTGCCATGGTTTACAACGTGAAATAACGCCTTAGTGATAGTTGTATTTCTTACCATTTTGATGCAGGAATAGAATGTAATCAACTCTGTAAATTGATGCTGAACTTTATGCAGTGAGTAACTCAGCAGCAGTATGTGATTCATGTGTTTAGGTCTTGAAATGTGAAGTAGGTTTTCTTTACTGCCTATTGGAATAATTGGCATTCAGGGGAGCATAATGATTAAATGGATGCAGTGGACCTTGGTTAAAAATACGGCTCAATGTCTGAATAGCTGTGGTAGGCGATCATTTAGGGCTTCCTAGGTAGCTCAGACGGTGAAGAATCTGCCCTCTTTGCAGAGTGCCTCCTGGTTTCTGTGTTGACGTCTAAAAGGAGAGGCAGTGGTTGCTACCGCGCAGGGTTTCTCTTCCTGTAAGACCTGGTGCCCGGCAGTGTGTGACTCAGCGACCAGCGGGGGTTCGGGGAGTGGGTGACTCAGCTGACAGCAGAATCGGGTCGGGTGTCTCTGGGACTCGCAGTGGGCCAGGACTTCCCCCGGGCCGGGCCCCACGTGTGCCCTGCTTCCCCACATCCATGTGAGGCAGTGGTTCTGTGCTGATGCAGGGCTGCAGGAGGCACCTGAGATCCGTTTCCGAGCGCGCAGCACCTTTTCGGGGGGGTCTGGCCCAGCAGTGTTTGCCTGGGGGGGGCCAGGGGAAGGCTGTGCCTCTGTGGTCCCTGGGTTCTAGTAATGGAAAGTGGCACCCTAAGTAAGGAGGGTTTCCCTTCACTCCGGAGCATTTCACGCTCCCGCCTGGCACTCCCTGCAGGCCTGCGTCTCTGATGAGAGAGATGAGAGCTGTGAAGCTCCTGTCTCCAGAGTTCGGGGGACTGATTCCTCTCTGGAATTCAGTGGCGCTGTCACGATTCCTGACTCTGCCTCTCCCTGCCAGCCTCCCTTCCGCCCGCAGCCTGTTCTTCTGCGGCATTGTTTTGGAGTCTGTGTTTCCGTTCCCTGGGGGCCAGGCAAGGAGGTAAATCTCTGACCTCTTTCTGCTTCACTGAGATGGTGTTTCTCAGTCAGGCGTGCTGTGCTCAGATCTTCAGATCTTGGGGCTTAGGGCCTTAACACGTAGGGGGCTGGGGAACAGATTTTCAGTTCTGAGAAACCAACTGCTTTCACGTCTTAGATGAATGTTTTATGTTTGTTCAAGATTCAGGCTTACATATCCACAGGAAAGGAATATAAAAACCCAGGACTCTACGTGGGAATGAAAATATTGCAGAGAAGTGATTGTCACACACTTTAAAGCCTAAAATTCATGTACTTCCTGCCTGTTGGAGGAAATCAGTAAATTTTGATTCAGTAAAGTATATTGTTATGAATTGGGAAATTCTTTAAATGGATTTGTATTTTGTTAAACACAATATATGACAGTGAAACAGCTATAATTCACGTGAGAATGAGTAGGACTTAAATGTGACAGATGCATTTTCATGCAGCTTAAAGATGGTGCTCAGAGTGCATATGGATGGAAGACCTTTTCTTTTTTGAGTCTTAGACCCGTCCCGATGGGATCCATTGTTGAATGTAAATGTCCTCTTTAAATAATCCATTAGTAATTATTTCACTTTTCATATGGATTTCAGTATGAATCAGTCTTACGTGTTTTGAGAGAGCTATCTTATATCTTGCCATACCCTATGGGAGCTATGAGTTGCCATTTCATCACTGCCTCAGATCGAGTTGTCTGAACTGTGCAAAATCTGCTAATTAGAAGTGTTCCTTTCCATCTGTACCTTTGAATCGCATTTCATGTTCATGACCTACTTGGACAAGGACCAGTTTTATTTTACTCCATACTGTTTGTGTTTGTTTGTTTTTTTTTTTTTAAATGCAGCCTTCCCTGACTTCTAATCTTTATCCATACATTGTTGCTTTCCTCTTT